TGTGGATGAGAGACACTTGAGAGATTTTTAAGATACAGGAAGTGTCATTACTGCTCATTACAGCGTCGCCCCACAGAGGGAAGGTTCTGGGTTCAAAGCTGAGTCCTTTCCATGTGGAGTTTGCGTCTCTCTATCTCCGCCTATGTTGGCTTTCTGCAGATGCTCCGGCTTCCTCCTGCATGTTCGGTTAGCTGGTGATTCTAAACTGGCTGTAGACGTGAGTGTGCTGGGTCGCTTGTCTCTTTGTGTTAACCCTCTGATGGACTGAATATCCTAATTCACTCAGTTACCTGATCCAACACAATCGCATCAGGCAGTTTTAAAGAAGTTTGTCTGTATCTGGTATCAACAAACTTCTCCATAATGTGCTTGCTTCGTGTAAATACATTCTACAATGGGAACTGTGGGCTGTTTTTCTGCTCTTCTTCGTCTGATAACATTACACGCACCTATACTTCCTCTAAACACCATTTCATGCGGTTCTATTCATACGACAGCGGATACGCGTCAGTCTGCTGTTCAGACAGTCACATTGATCGTCATATCGAACACAGATAAACACACGGGGCTTCCATGAATGCGCCTGAAAGGCTGCCTGCGACTTTGTGCTTTTTACAGGATGTAGCAGCGACTGAGAGAGTCGGCTGTAGCACCGTGTAAATGTGATTNGTGGGAGGAAGCTGGAGAACCCGGAGAGAACCCACGCTGCACAGGGAGAACATGGAGACTCCACACAGAAAGATACTGGGTGTCCTCACCAGGATGTGAACCGGTGACCTTCTTGCTGTGAGGCAACAGTGCTAACCACCGAGCCACCTTGCAGAGAAACGGAAAAAGTAAATCCCTTCAATATATATTGTGATTGTTTTTACAGCTACTGGCAGCTTGGTGGGCTGATGGCAAACCAGTTAAGGTTTTAATAGGTCTCCTAAACTCAATTAGCTGAGATGAAAAGTTATTTTTACTGTAATTCTCAACAAATCATCAACCATAAAAGCTTTAGTTTATTTCATGGAGTAATATGTAGTAACATCTTCTATGTGCACATTAATTTATTGTCATTTATTTAAAATATGCATATTTTAAATAAACAACTTCATTCTAAGCATTTTGGTATCATGTATTAGCAATGCTAGCAAAATAAAATGTCTCAACAACGACTGAAACTTTTTGCACAGATAGTCCAGATCTCCAGAAAAGACATCATCCTGACCTTTGTTGACCTCCTGACCTTTCATCAAAATCTTCCCTGATTGGCACAAACTTTCCTTTCCCTTCCTTGAGGATAACTTTGACCGTTTCCTAACTTTTTTCCGTCAGCACCAGCAGGTTGACAGTTTGGGCTCAGGGTGAAATACGAGGACAAATATAAAATGTTAAATTTGGTTCAGACATTCATGAATGTCATCTTCCACACAGAGCTAATCCTGATTTTAGGTCACGTACGACATCCATCCATCTGACCACCCATTAGCTACACATTTATCCTCATCCTTTAGGCATTATACTTCCCACCTTTTAATTTTAGTGTCTCACTTTTGTGCTTCTTAACCTGAATTCCATTCTGTCTGCTGCATTTCCTTTCTTTTTTGTGCAAATAATTACATTTGATAGATTAAAAAATGCAGCATGTCGTCAGTCGTGATGCCAAAGTGGTTTACTGCTGAATAATAGTGAAAGGGTCTCAGATAAAGGGGGAATATGAGCCCTTCACTTTCAATAAATACATTTCTAAAAAGGACAAAGCTATTTATATTGACAGGTTGTTCAACTGGGCACAGATTGGTTTATTTTAAAGATCTCCTCCAGTGAAATAGGCCACCAGCTGAACGAACGACGCCATCGAGAAGGCCCGAAGGTCGTCGAGCTGCAGGCCCGCATCCAATCCCAGTTAGCCATGACATCCTGGGAGCTTTGGGGAACACTGGGCTTCACTACCGGGTGGCTCTGGCTAATCTCCATGGGGATCGCTCCACCTAAAGCAGAAGTCAAGGAGGCGAACAAGCCGACGCTTCTGATTCTGGACGAAAGGGGAAGGACTGTAGATGCTGGTGGCAAAGAGGTCGAAATTACACATCGAGTGCCCACACGGAGAGCAAACATTTAAGCGGTAAAGTGAGAGCAGTTCTGTGAGCAGCTAAAGGAAAAACCCAGACATGACTTAGAGATCATGAACAAAATCATCAATCAGTAGCGTGGCTGCAGTCTAATGACGACAGTCAAAAAAAAAAAAGTATATCTGATTTCCAGGGTTTCATGTGTAACAAACCCAAAGAACCAATCCTGTCAGCTTGCAGGGTGGGAGGTTCTGTGTCATTCTTTTTCAGAGTCAGTTTCCAGTTCGAAAATGGAGAGCTGGTGTTCTCCAGCTGAAGTGAATGGAGAGAGCGATGGGGACTTCATAGATCTGCACATTCTAAATAAGTGACTGTGTAGAGTTACATCTAAGGCCCAATCACAACCTCCAGTCTACAGCCTAAAGCATTAAACCCCTTAATATACCTAATGGACAGCACAAGTTGATTGGGCAAAAAAAGTTGTTAGCAAAAAAAAAAAAGAAAGAAGTGAATTTGGAATTACGTTCAACTCAGAGTTTGATAGAACAACCATGTTTATACATCACCAATTTTGCTATGCACTGTTCAAGTCCCTCAGGAAATTCCGCAGAAATGTGCAAAAAAAAAAAAAAGCATTGAAAATTCAGCATCAGAGGCCCCATGCAGTGTGTGGGAAGATGCCTCAAAGTCTGTGAGTCTGTGAATGTAGAGACAGCGATTGGACCTAAGTCAGTAGGAAAGAATTATATCCACAGAAAGGAAAATCTAAATTTAAAACTGTGATACACAGAGTTGAGTTTTTAGGTGTTTAATGACTGACCGCAGAGGGACTTTAAAGGTCCCATGCTGATCGTTTTCACAGAATTATTGAACGTCTCACATGTCTCCAAAATGTGTTTTTCACATTTTCAGCCCAAAATACTGCAAAGACGGTTCACTTCACTGTGACTATAGAACTCCTGGTTTTAGTCCTGTTCTAAACAGTCTCTGTAGCTTCCAGTGCTGCCTCTGCCTCCTTCAGGAAGAAGACTCTCTCTGTGGAGACAAACAGCAGATCACATTGCACTCGACATCAACATGAAGTGTCTGAGACCAGGACTTTTGATTGCTTGTACATTTGCATATACAGCTGCACTAACATGCTGTATATGTGAGCACAGAGGAGAGAAACTAACAGATATGAACTCTGGCTGAGTTTAGGTTCCACTGAAGCACAACAGGCAACATGATAAAACAGAAACCTACCAAGTCCCTGTTTATTGCTTTAAATCTGCAATTTCCACAGAGCTCTGACCTGTGGTCATATGATCAAAGCTCATGGTAACGTTAACCACTTTAGCAGCAACACACTAACACCATGAATTTTCCTATTATTGTGGGGACATTACCATCAACCATAAAGTTAATCCACTCCATCTTCAGTTCCTCAGATGCTGGGAGTGCATGAAGACTCTTGTGTTCACTCTTACAGCCAACAGCAAAACATTTGGTGGGCGTTGCTAATGTGTAAGTTATTTAGATTTAGCTGAAGCAGCTCCAGAAACTAAATAAACCTGGTGGACTGTAAGACAGCTGTTTATTCTGAATGACTCACCTGGAAGCAGCAGACAGTGAGGGTGCAGGATTATGCAGATTTTTAGCTCGATGACTACTGGTACCTTAGCTTCTGATTCAGAAACTGAATAAAATTCTGACTAGGTATAGTGTAGTATAGTGTAGTGTAGGAGGTGGTCTGGCTGAGTGGGGGACTACAGGAATGATAGTTGTAATTCAATTCAGTTTAATTTGATTCAAAAAAGAAGGTACGTTTGTTGATATCTCACAACTTTTATTTAAGGCACACAAAACACAACAAAAATGTGTTTTCACCATATGGTCCCTTTAAATAACAAAACTGCCTTTTAGAAAATTAAATGATTAATCAAATTAAATATGTGAGTGGGATGTGATGGACTAGATGTAACACTAGATCCTAATAATATATAGTAATAATTACAATAATAGTAACAGCTTGGCGTATAAAAACAACACTGTTCAAAAGGTTTTTTAAAAAAAAATACTGGAAAAAAAAGTCAAATAAAAGACAGTTCAAAGGAAATTTAAACACATTGATTCAATAAGCATTTTATAAGACACCGCTGAGTCAGCTGATCTGATTTCCTCGGGCAGATTGTCCCTGAAGCTCAAGGCCCCGACTGCAAATCGATGGATTTCAAAGTACGTGTCAGTGTGTACGGTACAAATAGGTCACCTAAAACATACCTGGAGCCAGTGTAAACAGGACAAAGCTGAAGTGATGTGCTCACCTTTCATGGTTCTGGTTCAGTCTGGTAAAAAAAGACTATTACAGTATTTCAAACATAAAGAAAAAACCCTGTAAGAGATTGTCTTTCAGGACAATTCTGGATCCCTCGGCCAGAAGTTTACAGATTAATCCAAAATTATATGGTTACCAGTGAATTTGTGAATGAAGAAGAGATTTTCAACAGTGTCCATCTTGTCATTTCTGTTTTTGTGTGTGTTTTCTTTAACATTTTCAATAATCCAATTCCTAAATCAATCAAATGAAATAAATATATTTAGTTTATATTGTGAAAATGGAGTGACTGGACTGTGTGCTTTGTGGTTTGCAGTGGCCGTGTAGGTGGTGTGGTTGGAGAAACAGACCTGCTTGTTATAAAGTATAAAAATCAGTGTAACCCACACAGAGCTGTGTCAGCTGACACGATGGTGAACTCAGATACGGCAGCAGCGGCCTCGTGGAGACAGTTGCCACGGAGACCGGCGCACGTCATCCTGTAGCGGTTGCCATGGTCCTCCTGACGTCAAAGCCCCTCGCAAGATGCTTAGGAAACCCCCTGGCGCGGTTGCCCTGGATACTGGCGGGGGGAGGGGTGGGGCTTAGAGGAAGCGGAAGTGTCAGAGCAGGCGGAAGTGGTACTGCCCTGAATACCCTGAGCAGCGAGCGGAGGACGGCTGACAAACTCCCATCGTTCACAGAATAAAATCGGGATTCCTTGTACGCTCAAAATGTGAGTTCGCTTGCATATCACTCGATTATTACCTTATGCACACTGTTACGGGAGTGTTTCGGGGGAAAGAGCAGCCCTAGCGGTGGCCCCATTGCCTGCCGCTGCGGCGGAAGGTGCCTATTGTGGTTTGGGGCTGGGTGCGAGGGATTTAGGCCGAGAATGTGGCCAGATATCGAGAAATAGCCCACGAAACACCCCGGTGGTGGTTGACTGTGCAATTAGTGCCGGCAGCGCGGCGCAGATTTTTAATTTTGACGGCTCGGTCTCCGGTCGATACATGCGTGGTGCGGCGGTTGGCCGTGTTGGGAGGGAGAAGCAGCCCCCAAGTTTGGCCATTTTGACAGCTTAGCAGCCGTGCCCCGACCGTCGTGATAGCAGCCCAGACATTTTAGCAGCTAGCGCTAGGTACGCTGCACGGCGGATAGCATAAGACTAGCACTTAGCTGCTGGCCGTAGCGGGACACATACGTGGCCTCGTTATTCGCTGGATAGGCTGGCGACAGAACAAGCGCGATGGTGGATTGTCTTTAGCGGAGCTCCGTCATGGCGTAGTGAAGCGATATGGAAGCTAACACACCCTCCATATTTCCCGGGAGTTTCCCCCGCAAACGCGACTTCGTTCTTTTATATATAAACGGGAAAAAAAACGTTTTCTTTCGATGTAATTTAACTCGCAGGGGACAGCGGTGACTTCGTGCAGAAGCCGCATTTAAGCGTTACGATAATTCGGCTCCCGGTTCGGTGTCGGCTCACCGCCATTAAGATTGAACTGGGTCAGGTCCCGTTAGCGGCTAGGCTAACCGTTGCAGCTAGCGGCCGTGCTGTGACGCTCGGTTAGCATGCTAGCCGCTGGTAATCTATCTCTCCATCTTAAAATTCCGCAGGGGAATGCGACAAGGAGGGCGTAGCTGTTAGCAGGCCGACTCAGCGCTACAGCCCGAATATTCCTGTCCGTAGGCTGTGTATTTTTTTCCTTTCCTTTTTTTTAAAAATCCGGGCAAAACCGGTGCAAAAGCCAACGAATTTAAACCGGCCGGGGAAAAAGGGGGCCCCCCGTTTTTTTTTTTTTCCCGTTTTTTTCTCGTTACGAATAAGCCTGTTAACCTTAATAGTTAGCTTGACGGTTGGATAAGAGCATTGCATATGTAGAGTGTGTTGGTGGCGTGAGAGGTGATTGTAGCCCGATCGACTGGCTGGGCCAAGTTGGATCAATTTTACCCGATGTGTGGGTCGTTATGGCGGTTAACTAACGCGTCATTAATGCGCTTGTAGCTGCGATGAGCGGCATTTTACCTCATGCTAAATGCTAACGCCAGGATGCTAATATGTCACACACACACACAGCACGGTTGTCCAAATATAAAAATATACACACATAATCCGAAAATTAAAATAACGCACAGCCACCCTCCTTTTTTTTACTCTTCGGAAATGAAACCTGTTAAATTATTGCCTCAGGTTTTTTTTTTAATTGATAATTGTAAGCTGTCTTTCATAAGCAATTTAGTTCCACAAAATCAAACATTATCTTTATAGTTGCTGATGTGTGATCATCACGTGCTTGAGTGGAGCATTTGACAGTAAAACCAGCACATGAACTGGGTTGTGACAGTAGTGAACAAATCACCTTGCACCAATATCTTACTGTTTCCAACAATATTTCAATCTGATTGAAAGGTGCTGCTGCTAAGCAAAGGACCTCACAAGAAACTGTTAATGTCCTGTCTTTTGATTTAATTGATTAACCATCACCTCTACAAAAGAAATAGTGATGAAAATACTCCAGAACCTAATTTGATGGAAGGGTTGCTGGTTTTGTTTAGCCCAGTGTAAATGTCTTTACTGTCATATCAGACATACCATTGCACTGAGGAAATGAACTTAATATTTGGCTTTTTTTGTTGAAAGTATAAGCTGCCAGAAGTTACTAAATTCTCTGATGGTTGATTAAAGTTGAACAGCTAATTCACACAGAGACATTTAAAGTTAGTTTATTTTAATTTTTGTAGTCAAGCCTCTTGCCTCTTTTGTATTTCACTACAACATCAGTCTATTGATTAATATGCTCGATTACCAAGGCATATTGTATAGAATAATATAGCTTTGTATTTGATGATGCGTTGATGCTGGTGGTGGGGATATGACCAGTACGAAACAATCTGAATTTCCTTATGTCAACATCAAACTCAACAAAGCAACGATAAATCTTTTTTTTTTTTTCTCCCTTCCTTCAGTTAGTGTCTTGATAATGGACAGAATGGGTTTCTGAATATATAATGCATCCAGTGCCTAATGGTTTCACCATTTTTGTTTTTTTGGAAAACTAATGGAACCACAGTCGGTATCAGCAGATAATTGATTTTTACTTTTCAGCCCTTGAATCAGCACTCGATGTGTGCTACTGGTGCACTCCCAGCTGAGAGGCTATTAATTACTCTGCAGCACCATAGGAAATGCGTACGAGTGGCAGCATGATCACGGCGTAGTTTTTAGATTTGTCCTGTGTTTTTTTTCACTCAGGTGTGAGGTCTGCTGTCACGCTTTTCCTTCACACTTAACTATTAGTTTTCCTGCACGGTAGTATATTAAATATATATATCACAAGTTACTCTGAGTCTTGAAAAACAGTTATTAGGATAGAGATGTACAATTTGGTTATGATTACACTGATTTTTAAAATATATATTGTAGGTCTGTTGATTTAATAATACCTATAGAAGGTTTATGATTACTGCAGTTATTTTTTTTAAAGAATTACTTAGTTCTTTGAGTCAGGGTTGCAATTGAACCTATAATATGCCTTTTAGCAGTAACGATTTTGTAAATTCTCTAGAGATTCAATTACTTTCTTAGTGGTTTGAACAAGCTGACAAGAACGTATGCACTTAGTTGTAGTCCAGCAATCCAAGAACTTAATAACACTGATGCAAAATTTGTACAAAAATCCAAAAGTACGCCTGCACATGGCTCTCCAGCATCACCCACAATAGCACAATACACCCAGGGATAGTGAAGCTGAAGCTATACAGTCTGGCACAGTCTCGACTGTTTGACAAACTTAACTAGTGCAAATGTTGTCATATTGCCCAGCCCTTGTGATACGAGTGATTTTAGATAGGGTTGGAACAAGTTATTGATTTATCAGTAACTCGCAAACTGTTACAGGCAATTAAATCTGCACACTGATCTGGCACCGTGAGTTAACAGACCAGAACCTCGGCTGAACCACCTCTTTTAAATGTAAGTGAGTAATTCCTGAGTCTACCACCATTAAATGGGGAAGGGTATTATTTGCCTTGAATGCCGTGGTGCCATCTGGTGGTCTCGAGGTAAACTCCATTATTTTATAGTCATAGCACATCTACTGTTTTCCAGCTGAGGAAAGGAAAAGAAGAAGAAAAAAACACTTGAAAACATCAAACTGATCATTTCTGGGCCACAAAGTTTCTCCAGACAAGTGAAGAGTACAATAAACTCTCCAAGACCTCAACTGTCCTCTGCAATGAGGTCAGATCAGCCATAAAGAAGCTTCCATTGCCAAGGTAGAGGATACAGAGCAGGCCCTGACCTGCATTCATGGCTGCATCGAAACCATTAAGAATTGAGAATAAAATGTACATTTTTAAGTTTATTTAATTAGGGTTTCATTTAGAGATGATTCATAGACTTCTTGTGTTTATGCAGAATTAACAGGAAAATGTACAGATGTCTGCCTTTACAGTAGGAGGACTGATCATAAAGACTGATCATGCTCACTGCCCTGCATAGTCACACCCTAAAGGCCCGTCCAGAGCCAGGAAAATCCCTGAGAATGTATACAGCGATTCTTGTCAGGTGCTTTTCCAGTTGCAGCTAAACAGCAGAGAGAAAGAGAGCCACTGCTGGGGAGACCAAATCACACAGCATGTTGTCTAACTGGAAGAGGGATCGTAACACAAGTGTAGATTTCTACGCCAAGGACTAAAGTGACTTGGTATTTATATAGATTCAAGCAACAGAAGAACTCTTAACAAAAAGCCAAAATGTGCACAGAAATGGCTGAAAACAGTTTGTGAATGCCTCGGAGGAGTTATGAGGAATTTATGGCAGTCACTTGAAAATTAGGAAAAACAAAAACGTTTTGTCGAAGGTGCATCTAATATAAGTTCACCTGAAGGAGTTCCAAAACAGAAATGTGATCTGATGTGAGTCATTGCTTAAAAACTTCAAAGATCCAGTGAGGTCAATATTGTTTTTCGGCACCACATCTATACCCAATTTATTATTTTAGCACTATTATGTTCACTTCTTTCTGCTCTTTTGTCATTTTTTTCCGTGATTCTCAGCAATTAATAAGAAAAAGGTTTTGACAAAAGCGAGAAAATTCTTGGTTGACTGGAATTTTTTCACACATGTCAGAGCTTGTTCACCCTGGTCAATCTGTTGACGATTTTCTCGACTAAACGATTATTCGTTTGGTCTTTAAAATAGTGAGAAATGTGTTTCCCGAAGCCCGAGATAGCTTTCTGAAATGCCTTGTTTTATCCCAAAGATATTCAGCTCATTATGACAAAAGGAGGGAAAAAACCAACAAAATTTTAAACCTTAAGAAACTGGAATTGACTTTTTTTTCACTCATTCGATTATCAAAATGTTTGCCAGTTAATTGACAGCTAATCAATTAATTGTCACAGCTTTCATTTTAAAACAATTAAGAGTTAAATGTAATTAAAGTTACCACTGGATTGAATCTGACGCGGATGCATTTGACGGGAAAAAAAAAACAAATCCAAACTACTCTGCTTGTAGTATTTATCATAGCTCTTTTGCCCTCCATAGGGAAACACTCTTCTCACCCCTTGCTTCCACAGAAAGGTGGGAGTTCAGGTAAGTTGCAAGGATGCTCGCACTCAGCAGGGGGTGGTATTTGGATTTCCCTGTGGTGGAAGGGTGACTAAACTGGAAAGATATTAAAAACTTGCATCATGGAGGGTAAAACTGGTGTCTGGTGTTTACGTAGGAACATTTCCCTTATGGTGTAATGGTGTTTTTTTTTTTTCTTTTTAACCGCTTAAATGTATGATGATGCGATTTAGAAGTCATCCAGATTGAAAACGCAGCTCGTTGTGGAGCGTTTACGGTGTGATGTGTAGATATGAGAGCGACAGAGGCGAGGCTGTGGCCTACTTAAACCTACAGATTCATCTGGAGAGCAGGAAGCCCTCGGGGATGAAATAACGGGGAGCAGCCGTTGCACTGGAATCGAGTTTTTGACATTTTATTAAGTGCTGTTAAGTCCATGCCTGTATATTTGGCACTTTATTGTTACCTTCTGATTAGCTTTTGTCCAAGCAGGACAGATTTGTCATCATTATGCATGTTACAAAGGAGGCACTCACAAGCACTCGACCTAGCCCACTCTAGTGGCTCCTCTTCCTTCTTTCCACTTCTTCAACATGGTCTACTTATATCATTGGCCCTTGAGATTTCCACTCCTCTGTTTCACACACTTACACTTGTCTTTCTATCAGATTTCTCGCCCCTGTATTGTTTTGCTGCCTGCTCTTTTTTTTTTTTCTGTCCTTGCCTGTTCTAGCTGGTGAACGGAAAGCCTCCGTTGTGATGTTTAAATACTTACTCGGTCTTCTCTGTGCTCCTGTTGTTCTTCACCGCACAGACTAAAAGATGGATAAGAACGACCTGGTGCAGAAAGCCAAGCTGGCAGAGCAGGCTGAGCGCTATGACGACATGGCGGCTGCCATGAAGTCCGTGACGGAGCAGGGCCTGGAGCTCAGCAACGAGGAGCGCAACCTGCTCTCTGTCGCCTACAAGAACGTGGTATGAAATCCATCTAATGAGTCAGGTTTTCCTGTGTTTTTTTTCTTCTCTCTCTCTCTATACAAATGTGCAGAGGCTCTGGTACAGCTGACTGCAGAGTGTAACTGTTTAGCTGAGTTCACAGCGTAGAGCTCACGGTTCAATATGTCGACTTTTAGTTGGGCTGAAAATAGCACAAAATGCGTTCCCACACTTTGACCATTCTTATCTTTTTACAACCGGTTTTCCACATACGTTTCCCTACAGCACGTAAAAAACACACTTTCTAAAATCTCCATAGAACTAAGCTAAAGAAAAAGAACGTTTTCTTTAAGATAATACATTAAAGGCACTATTTGGGTTAACATTTAACTATCTAGAGAAATTACCTTAGTTCAAATTTCAGTGCAGTTGTGATTATTGCTGTTGGATCTTGTCCTACGAAACAATATTTAGAGATTGCTCTGAGACAACTCTGCAAAAAACTCCATGTAACCATACAGATGAGAGCAGAGGGCAGAGATTCTCCCCAAAATTATAAGAACCTTATGTTCCTGCTAAGTTTGCAAATCTCGTCACGACAAACCTTCGAAGAAAGACGAGCGTTCAGCCGTCGTGGTCTTAAAAACAGGCAGAGCAGTCCAACGGTCGAGCTGATATGAAAATTCCCTCCGTCATGCTTCACTCCCACTTTCCACTGCCCATTGATTAAACTGCATTTATATCTCGCTGCCTTTCTCACACCTGTAGCAACGAGGAACATCTTCCCTCGGAAGTTGCGGCCTCTGTTCTTTCTCAAATGACTGCCAGATTTTTTTTTTTTCTGGGGAAACGTTTTGCTGTGGAAGTTCAGGGCAACAGGACACAATGAGTAGGCTGTAACATTTAACAGCATGCTATAGATTATCCTATCTTGGCAAGCATCACTCGCTAAAATGCCATCTCATGTAACGCGGAGACTGTCACTAGCTGGGTTGCTTGTTTCGATTTCTGTATTTTCAGTTTTTTTCCATGAAGATTTTATAGTCTAACTATGAGGCAGAAATTATGTAAGAGCAGCCTCAGGTTTTCCAGCACTGCTGCTCTATTTATCATTGAGGGCTTTTTTTTTTTTTTTTTTTTTAAAGCTTGCCAACATTGAGTACTACTCAGTGTGCTTCAATATAAGCTGCAACCAGAAGGATGGTATAAGTCATTCCTTGCTTATGTTTAGTTCAAACATCAGAAATAGATCGGAAGTCACGCTCAGCTCACATGACAAGGAAACAGACTGCCGTTTTATTGTCGGATGCTGTGACGCTAACAAAGGTTTGATGTTTGTTTAACACGGCAAAGCTGGTTTGAATCGTCTTAAATTACAATTTCAGTGACGTTAAAATGTAAATCTGTGGCTGATTTTAAATGCCAGCTTCCCTTTATTTCAGTTGCTCATAAACATTTCAGTACGATCAGGTTATCTGTTGTTGTAATGAAAGGAATCGTTAAAATTTTCATGAAATATTGTCCTCAATCTGCTGATATCTATGTGCAAATATGCACTGATATAACGACCTAAAATCAACACCAAATAATTGTATTTTTACTCACGGTTGCTCACATTTAATCTGTCTTATTTTAAGCCGTGTTTATCCAGTCATGTATGTAAGATGCTGTCTTTTAATGTCAGTTTCTGTTTTTCGCTCGATGTCGTTTTTTTTTTTTTTTTTTGGCATTAGGTGGGGGCCCGCCGTTCATCCTGGCGCGTCATCTCCAGCATCGAGCAGAAGACGGAGGGGAACGAGAAGAAACAGCAGATGGCCCGCGATTACCGCGTGAAGATCGAGACCGAACTCCAAGATATCTGCAACGACGTGCTGGTACGGACAGGGATGGGGAAGGGCAGGCAAGGGAGTGAGGAGGTGTGAAGGAAGAGAGTGAGAACGGATAAGACGGATGGCGGTGATGGGTGGGACAGAAGGTAGAAAGAGAAAAGAGAGAAAGATGGTGGCAGCGCTGTCGCTGATCCCCCCCTGGCTGAGGAAGGAATAACGGTCACATGGTTTTTACTCGGGGAGACTGTAATAATGTTGCTGGCAGCTGTTGAAAGAGCTGTCAAACAAAGCTTTAATTTTCCTCTATTTTTCACCTTGCTACCCCGCTTGGGCGTCTCAGCTTCATTTCTTGTGTTTACGTGGTGCAGAGGCAAAGGAGCGCTGTACTGGAAAGGCTGCAAGTTATGAACCGAGAGTATGTAGATTTAAAATATGTTAGGATTTTTTTTCTCTCTCTCTGTCTCATCCGTCAGCTGAGGCCTGAGAAAGGGTTCAGACCAAAAATAGCACAGCATCAAAAAAAGAAAAAAACAAGGCGGGTGTGTTGTTCCAGGTGCTCATTCCAGTTTGAGTTCTGGATCCAATAGTTTCGTTTTTAGTCGCTGTCCTCATGCAGCGTTACACAAACATTACTACGAGTCATCTACCCGGAATGCGCCTGGCTGGTCGGTGTTTCAGAGCGTTGTGAGAGAAACACGAGCTCGCCTTTGTAGCCTACAAACTCAAGCATGAGATCGTGTGTTTTGTTGCGTATCTGTTCAGAGAACTTTTAAACCAGCGACAGAAGGTAACTCGAACAGAGCCAACGAGCACACTGATGGCTGTGTGTGCAGATTCAGTGCTGTAAACATGCTGGTGGTGGTGGGAGAAAGAAGAGAAGCACAGCGAGGAGAGCTGCAGACTTGCAAGAAAATACTGTTGGTTAATATTAACCTGAAGTGATTTGTTTTGCAGAATCTTTTAGTCGTCAGTCACTCTGGTTCCGAGCATCAGATCGGCAGTGACTGAAGCACAGGCTCGGTTTAGCGTCTTACTCATCTGCTCAAATGCTTGCTCGAGAGAAGCCGTCGAAGCGTTGCGTTCAAACAACAATGTGCTTTTTTTTAAACGCCACAAATGTGATTTAGACCTCATGAGCAACCCTCACACTGTCGGGACCTGAAGAGCGCAGAACAGAAATTGCTCAAGGTCAAACCAGACTCAAATTTTTTAGCGCATGAGCAGACTTTCTAATAATATCTTCAAGGTCAAACTGGGGAGCCTCTGCAGTGATGTGGTGCTGTAGGAATGAAGGGAGGAAAGGATGGGTGGAGACATGCTGTCCTTAAAGCAGCGGGAAGGTTGGAAGGGAGAAGCTCTGATGCATCCACAGGACAGAAAGACATGTCAGCGACCTTGACCTAGAAGAGCTCGCCAGTTGACCAGGCCGGCAGAGAAATTACATCCATTCGCTTCCCCCCAGTGTGAACTATATTTGCCCCCTAAGCAAAAATAAAAGCTGCATTTGGAAACGAGGTGTATTTGCTGCCAAAATGTTACAGGGGAAGCGTGCGTTAGCAACTGCTGCGTTGGCTAGAAAGATGTGCGACTAAATTGAAACCAAAGACGAGCAGAATGGTGCAGAAAAGGCAGAACATGTCACCACCTGGTACCAACTAGTAGACGGCAATAAGAAATGAGAGGAATGTTAGGCTATCGAACCTGCCACGAAAAAGGCCCGAGAGCCTTCAGGTTTTTGTTTTTCTGAATTTATTGGAAATAACAGACGATGAAACAAAAACAATGGGACAGCTGAGGTTGCCGAGTGGTGACTGAGTTGCTCAACATTAGGACTAGTCAGCTCTGAAAAAATCAGAAGAAGAACCCAATTTAGCCATCAAGATTTAATCTGATAACTCTCCTGATTGGCCTTTATAGACTTCCAACACTATTTTTTTTTTTTAAAAACACGTTGGTTGCTCACAAGTCGTGTCCACACTAAACCCGTGAACAGTAGTCAGCAGTAAATTAATATATTGATTATTTTAAAGGATAGATGAGAAGCGCTCGTCTGCCACCGAATCTCTCATGCTTGGTTGCATCTTAGATTAACTGAATCAAGATTTAATCCTACAACCAAACTCTTGAGTCAGTTTTATGTATTATTTGATTATTTCTAGTGATTAGACTTTTTTGTAGCAATTAGCGTTCTGCAGGAATTAGATAAACGGCACAAGAAGGGAAAATCATTGCACTGTACACAGCTCAGAATCACACGTGGACAGTGCTTCATGAGATCAAAGGCATCATTTGGTGTTTCAACACTGAGCACATGATTTTAAAACGGACCTTGAACAGCTGTTTCTACTGTACATGTGTGCATGACATTCCTACGACAGGTTACCGGAGTCAGCAGATTAAAACAGACAGTGCTGAAACAAAGCCGGTCTCAGTGACGAGATGCTCGGGGCTGAAGCCAGAGCTGATCACATGATCTGGTTAAAACCTCTCTTTAAATGATCTGATGAGGTCAGTCTCCGCAGCAGGAACAAGAATGATACACGTGCTTTAAGTTTGTGACACCCCGTCGGCAAACTCGACTTTTTTTTCTCCTTTTCAGACAAGAACTTAGTTAAGAGCATCAGTTGGCCCGGGGCGATAACGGTACCAAACTGTAAAACCTCTTTTACTGTCAGGTCCATTTATAACAGCAGCCTTGTTTTCTAGATGGGCTCATATAGAAATGTCATAAAATCAGCACATGGACCCTCTGAACCCCACGACACACTGGAAGGTTTATAAAGGAATGTTTTATATATAAATAAAAATCACCAAAATCCACCATTTATCAAAACCTGACACTGTAAAAAAAAAAAAAAAACTGCAAGTAATGACAGTCCTGTTCATCTGTGACTCAGCATTCTGTCAGAACACAAACCGAGGTTAATGTTGTGATATTAAAATCAGAAAGTTCAATTAAAAATGTAAGAAGAAGAATATGCACAGTATGCTGAGTCATGATTTCTTGCAACATTCTTGGAGTTTAATCCCAACAACTGGACTTGCTTGAGTTCCTTGAAGACGTTCCAGCTCTCATCCAAGAGGCTTCATCAGGTCTGACTGACTAGTTGGGAGTTCCAGATACTTTTATCCTTAAGGAGCCATTAACACCTGAGTTTGGGGGTTTGTTGCTCCTCCCCCTCGTTATGCAAGTCGTTAGTGCTCCCCCTGCTACAAAGGGGTTCGTTAAGGTCTTTTGTGGCTCGGTGTGGATGTGGGTTCGTCTTCCTGGGGAGATATAAGTTAGTGACGGTCACACTAGAGAGTCTGGAACTCACCACTGCTCAGCTCAGACCTGTCACCAAGTGTACGCTGAGCAATTATGGCGTCCAGTGTGTCCCCACGCCCTCCACATCGTCACACAATAGGTAGCCTCAGTCCTGCACTCACACAAGCGTTCATCCCCTCTTCTCTGCTGCATTATTTAAAACACACAGAGAGTCGGTTATGTGAAAGTAATCGAGGTTCAGGTGTTTCTGCTTTTGGCAGTGGCGTCTGTGTTCATCACAGGTCTGGCGTTGGCAAAGGCTGCAGCGCAAATATTAGTAAAGCCGTCCGTGATCAAGTCGTCTGTTTACTTATCCACCGACAGGTTTCTGTGCGCGGTCCTCTGCCACTGGTGTATAAATACAAAATGTGCCGTCCCGCATCTTGTTTCTGTTTGTAAACCCCTCTGGTCCTCTGTCTGTTTCAGAGTCTGCTCGAGAAATTCCTCATTCCCAATGCATCTCAGGCGGAGAGCAAGGTGTTCTACCTCAAAATGAAAGGAGACTACTATAGATACCTGTCAGAGGTGGCCTGTGGGGACTCAAAGAAGAGTGAGTATCAGTGTTTGAGCCTTTTAAACAATCAGTCATCAAGGCAGGAGAAACTAGATGTAGTAAATTATGTCTCATCATTTTTGATTTTCTGTGCAAGTCTTGCTGCCTTATTAGAGAACTATTGAGTGATTCTGGTGACCTTGAACCCAGTTAAAGACACGATTCCTCTCTTTGTGCCACTCGCATAATCAAGAGTGTCACTGTCTTAGTGCCACGAAGTCAGTTGCTGCCAATATCCCTTTTTAATAAACAGAACTTGGCAAACTTTTAATCATTTGCAGATAAGAAACCATTTTGTTGCTCAAAGAACTCAAAGCTTCCTTTTATTTAGCGTATCACCAATATCACAGATAACTAGTGGTTGACACCAGGTCTGTAGTTAACCAAGGGAAATCTTGGTTGACAGAAATCGCACCTCCTCTTCGACCAAACAAGTGGTTGCAATAAAAAACAACAACACCTGCATATCACTATCACTAGATGATCTAAATCAACCACAGTGCAGCAGGCGCTGCAGCATAACTGATTTTAATCTGGTTATTCTGCAGTGAAATGGTGACAGAACCGATCAGCATGCTCGTGTCCACATGTATGATTTGAGAAAATTATATCAGTTGGTGGCTCCAAGAACCATTGAGGTATATAACAAGACAAGTTCTCCGACCATTTAAGGATAACGGGCTGTAATTTCATGTCAACAACTAAGACATCTACTGAAGAGATGCTGCATCTCTCGAAACAGAGAAACATCTGAGAGAACTGAAGCTCAGCAGTTCGACAAACAGATTTTATTAGTGTTCCTTTCAGCAAAGATGGCTGACAGGAGGTTGTGGGATCAGTCGTTTGCTTACATTCGCCATACGAAGGTTTTACAAGCCGCTCGCTGTGTATTTAAACACTGGACCTCCAACACCTTTAAAGGGTCGCGTACAAGCCGTCCAGCGAAAGCCGCATAACAAAATATGTGTGACGTCGCTCCAACATGCAGGTCTTTTATTTATATCCTTTTGCTTTAAGAGTGTGACCGAGTCATTCGGATCATTGCCAAGAGACCGTAAACCTCGTTGCCAACGTTATCAATCTGACTCTGATTGTCATGGCGATAAGCCAAAGCAGTCATTGGATAGGAAATTGTGAAGCGATAATGAGAAACTTATTAAAGATCTAACTCCCCTCTCCAGGGTTCACTGTTGGCAGGCGGACGATGACGTGTGCACTGATTGTCCTCAAGTCTGCAGTCATCAGTGTTTTAGCCTCATTAGTAGCAGGGCTGTGACTGAATATCCCAGAAAATATTTATGTATAATATTATTTGTAATATTTATATTTTGCCATGACATTCACAAACATTCACTTTCCTTGAGGTGGACTGCTTAGAATTTAAAAAAGGTTAAAAGTTGGTATTTTTCAGGAAAGATGGCAGCAAGTTTCTTTCTTACAGTTTGAAAATCACCTTCAATCTTACGAATTACTCATCAGGCCTGAAACTGAATGTGTCCTGTACGGTGTTTTCTAACCACATACTAGAAAATGACAGCGATTGCTAACCTGCTAGCACAACAAACTAGCATGCTGAGTCTACTGTTAGGATCACAGTGTGACAATAAGTGACTGGTGGTTGTTGTTGTTGTACAGCCACGGTGGAGAACTCTCAGCAGGCCTACCAGGAAGCCTTCGACATCAGCAAGAAGGACATGCAGCCAACACACCCCATCCGGCTGGGCCTGGCCCTCAACTTCTCCGTCTTCTACTATGAAATCCTCAACTCGCCCGAGCATGCCTGCTCTCTGGCCAAGCTGGTGGGTCCCCGAACTTAGTTTACTCACGTATATATAAAAAGACTGAATTTGAATGTTTGTTGGTGATACAGGTGATAGACAGGTGGCCCCTCCTCCACAGAACAGATGTACTTGTCTGGATGGAGCAGGATTGGCCAGCTGCTGAGCTGTTGCTCCGAGCAGACTTGAACCCTCATTCATTTAACAGCTGCTTTCTGGCATAGACTATAAAAGATGGACGTAGCAACCGGCCCTGAAAAATGAAGCCAACCCGGAAGTGTCAAAAACCTGCAATATCACTACGTCCGCTAGCTGCTGGCTCCACAAAGCCCTGGCTCCCATAGACTGGAATTGGAAAAGAAGTGATCACAGATCACCAGATATTGCATTCCTACATCTCAGGATTTTTTTCTTATTAGTTTTCATGGTCAGGTCCAGAGATCAGGTGGCCAATCTGAAAATAAATCAATACTGAATTTTTAAAAATCGTCAACATTTTGTGGGGCAAGGGGCGTGGCTGGCTTGATTGACAGTCGGCAGCGACGATGCAGACGAAGCGAGCAGAAGGCGGTAAATGTGGGCGGGGCAGAGAGGGCCCGCCTCTCAATCCGTCTGACCAATCACTGCTCCTATGGCTCCGCCCCCCTCCAACGATTGTTGCGTCACTGGCTCCAAAAATCCAAGATGTCAACCAGGAAGTAGCAAAACCCTGGCTTCATGTTCTCAGTACAGAAACCAACGGGTGACGTCACGGCAGCTACGTCCATCTTTTACACAGTCTATGCTTTCTAGACATGTCTGTCGGAAGCAGTTCAAATATGCATGCTGTGCCCACAGTCGCTACCTGACACGATGACTGAAGTTGTGTAAAGCAACGGAGAGGGCCTCCTGCTGCTACACAGGAACACACGGGAAATGAAAGCTTAACCAGGAAATGTACAAAAGAGCAAACCCAGAAATAGATTGTAACTGAGACCAAGGTAGAAGGTGTGTCAAACTGTAACACGAGAAGGATTGACATCGGCGAACTTCTCCTCGCAGGCTTTCGACGAGGCGATCGCCGAGCTCGACACCTTGAACGAGGACTCCTACAAAGACAGCACGCTGATCATGCAGCTACTAAGGGACAACCTCACTGTGAGTATCCCACCGTCGATCAGGAATACAAATACAGGATGTTTGCTGGAGGTTACCTGTAACTGAACAGCACAACTAAACTTTGAACAGTTGATTGTGAAGTGAATCAAAACCACGTGTATACTTGAATATTCCCGTCAGATAGAGGTGGGACAGATCCCTGCTTATTTCAAAGTGCCTCAAACGTGTCGCGTGTTCGAGTTATATCCTGTTTCCTCGCTTATAATATCTGTCAGACACTTGGGGAGGTTTTCCTCTTTCTGTTTCCTCTGTGCAGATCTGATAATAGCAGCGTAGGTTCTGTTTATTATCATGAGATAAACACGCAGCATAAACGTAGCACCGTCTACCTGCATGGTACTGTTCATACAATATGTGCACTGGGAGTATTCTGCAGTTATGTAGTTATTTTCTTCAGTGTTTAACATCATGAACAACAGTCAGAAAACACAAAAACCACTAGTAAACACCTGACTGTCTTTAACTTGGCACAGCTGACGCGTGTACAAGTACCCTGTGGTTTCACACACAGTGTAATTTATAGGCTCAGAAGTCAGAAATGGAAATGTTTGATCTATGTTTAACTTCTTACTATAGATACTAGGACATGATTTATGTGTCTTCTGCCTTTCAGGTGCTTAGATTTTAGAAGTGCTTCTCCATAACGTGTCCCCGATCGTTTGACACGAATGCAAAATGTGCCCACCTATTGCTGCACCTGCCCACCTGTTGCTGCACCTGCCCCCCTCTGGGCAGCACAGGAAAAACTTCACACTTCCAGAATTTGGGTCCTGAAACATCAGTCCCATCAGTTTCTAATTGGCGGCTGTGGCTCAGGTGGTAGAGCGGGTTGTCCTCCAATCGCAAGGTTGGAGGTTCGATCCCCCGCCCCCTCCACAGTGTCCTTGGGCAAGACACTGCTCCCAATGGCAGGCAGCACCTTGCATGGCAGCTCTGTGGCCATATATAAGTGCAGACCAGACCATTTCTAATTAAAGATGGCTAAGCTGTATTTTTTATTATTGGGCAAAAATCCCACACTAACCATTCAGCATATTGTCATTCAAGTAGCCTGAGAGGACACTAGACGTGTTCACTTACTCATGACTTTTAGAATATCTAGTCCATGTGTGGAGAGATTAGCCAATCCCTGATCAGACGAGCAGCAGTGAAAGCAGGAAGTGATGACACAGCGGGTTAGATGGAGGACTTTGACTCAGGGGTCAGGGTTTGACTCTCAGGCGAAACCACAAATTGCTTTTAGCTTTGTAGTGCGAGCTCGTGTGTTTCTTCACTGCAGCTTTAATTCTTCACAAATGAATGTAAAGTTTAAAAAAAGCCCAAGTAATGTCCTACTGATTGACGCAAACAGTTTGTTTTTTAGTTTTTCTTGCATTTATAAGCAACCATTTCTAGCTGCATATCAGTGGTCGTGTGCAGCTTTAGTGCATGTTTGTGGCAGCAGGACAGCGTGTAAGTGATCGACTCGTAGATGAAAGGTGGACTTGGCCTCTGGGTGTGAAAAGTGAAACCAATGCAGGAAGTGCCTTGAAACTGGTTAAAGCCGCTATAGCTCACCTGGTGGAGCTGGTGTCCCATGTCCCCCCGACGCAGAGGTCATGAGTTTGAGTCCAGCTCATGACCCTTTCCTGCAGGTCCTCCCCCCACTTTCCCGTCTCTGTCTTGACTTTAATATAAAAAAGAAATAAAATAAACTGCATTCTTTCTGATGACCAGCAGAGGGCGAGTTCTCTAGTTGCTCTGATTGCATAGAAGTGTTTGAGGAACTGACCCGACTTCTTGCTTGATTTGCTCCCTCACTAAACCCCTTCCTGATGAGCTGATGGTCGTAATCGCTGCTTTCAAGTCTCGTTTAGGGTTCGGGTTCTGGTATGTTTTGCTGCTTTGGGATTTACAGTCGCTACCGTAGACGGACGTACAAAACATCAACAAGGCCTCAGATCCGCCCCTGACTCACCACGTATGACTAATTCCAACAATTAGTCGGCATAATTGAGTCTGTATTTTTAGCAAACACGCGTCACTGGTGTGTTTCTGTAAAACTACGAACACCGTGGAACACAGGAGGACTTAACAGTGAATCAGTTCATGTTCTGGATGACTGAGATGTCTTCTTCTTCTTCTCCTCTGCAGCTGTGGACATCAGAAAACCAGGGAGACGAGGGTGAAACCGGCGACGGAGAGAACTAGAGCGCACTTCACTGTTAACCCATCCCCACACTCTTCCTCCTCTTCCTCTTCCTCCTCCTCTTCCTCCTCCTTTGATCTCTCTTCCTCCTCTTCCTCCTCTCTTCGTACACATAAAACAGCCCGTTCATTCCCTCGTCCCACTTTTTCAAGCCCGGCCTCCCGACTTCCCTTCTGTATAACCAACAGCATGAATAGTACCTGACCTTCACCAGACAAAAATATTTAAGAATTAAAAAAAAAAAATTAAAAAATGAGGGGAAAAAATAAATCAAGAAACGACTCCATCACCCTCCCCCACCACCACCACCATTTACTCCTCCATCCCTCCCAACCCCCTCCTTGATCCTGGCACTCCAATGCAGGCCAGCAGACTAAAACCACTGGCCAGTCAAGTCTTATAGCACGCAGGGAGGGTTTTTATCCCGACAGTTCAATTCTTTTAGAGCCCACCTTCTCCCGTTTTCTTTTTTTGTTTGAATCTTTCTCTTCCATTCCTTCCGTTCTTCCCTCATTCCTCCTCCTCCTCCCTCCTTCCTAACATCTCAGTACGTTCTCTCACCTTCCTCCTCCTCCCTCCTCCTCCTCCTCCTCCTCCCACCTCTCTCTAGTGAGTTTAATGCATTTATATAGTTGTCCATCCCTTCTCTTTTTGGCTTTTCTTAGTGTACTGGCAAAAAAAAAAAAAATGGCTGGTTTTATTCCACTTTAAACAAAACAAGACAAAAAAAGGTTATTAAACTGTCCGTTTATTTTCAACAAACACTGTGATGCTTAGTTTTTCCTCCACCACGCCGCCACATCCTCGTTTGGTGGCAATAAATAATAAAAAACAAAAAAGGCCAATCTTGAGCTGGGAGGGGGTGTGTTTGAGCAGCAGTGCCATTCTGCTGAGGTTTATACAGAAGGGTTATCCTACAAGGCTGTATTGTGACACTGACGAATCTACGAGTGCGATCAAACACGTCACCGCTTTTGTTTCCTCTCACCGGGACCCCGACTTTCATTTATTTTCCAATTCGGAGCAAAAACATACAGAAATAACGATTGGAAAGTTCTCAAATTTGAAAACGCATACATTCCATCTCCCCCCCGCCGCCCACAACCAGGCGGGACCTCGGCCCGCCTCCTGGGATTCCACTTCCTGTCAGGTGCTGTTGAACATCAGTCCTACTGTCCCTCCAGGTTAATTCCTTCACCACATGTTCATTTCCCCCCTTCTTCTTCTTTTTTTTTTTTTTTTTCCGGTTGTTTTTTTTTTTTT